TGTGTATCATTAATACATACATCCACACTCAACCTTGGATGCTTTAAAAAAAAAAAATCTGTATATTTTTTGAGGTGCTGATACGTAAACACAGTCTCCCTCAGCTTAACGTATCAAGAACGATGATGTAATGATTTTTAACTCTGTTTTTATTTGGTTCACTTTCCCCTCTCGGTTGCTGACTAACTCCCCGAGGAAATGTGTCGCTGTAATATTTCCCTTGTGGTCTGTGTGTTGTTGGTGGGAATTGTTCCTCTTTCCTTATATTTATTTCCCTCCTTTTCGTTTCTTTTATTTCCTTTGTGTTTCGTCTTATTTGTATTTTTTTTATGTTTCTATATCTCTTTTATCATGCTTTTTCTCTCTCTCTTTTATTTAGTGTTTATATACTCACTTTATGTCTTTGTTTACGTTTCTTAAAAATATGGGGCTTCAACAGGTGAGTTATGTGTGTTAATGACAGGTGTGTTGTGGTGGCGGGTCGGGGTCACACCTCACATTGAAGCGGTGGTTACAGTGTCGAGAACACTTCTATTAGTTTTTTCGTCTCTTAGTTAATAGGAAGATTGATAATAGATAAAACTAACTGGATTGATTAAGAAATGGATAATCAAATACAAGATAGAACAGAGAAATCGATTATCTTCCGGGAAAAAAAATATAGATAAATAAACAAAAAACTTGATACTGTAGATAGTTGAAACGAAATTGATTGCTAGAAAAAGTTAAAGCAAATTCTATATGATCTTTGGGAGATAGATATTCCTGATTGTGATAAAGCTTTACAGTAGCGAGAACCAGAATTGCATATAGTGTTAAAATCTGATTCAGTTCCCGGGGATTTCCCTTGGCGAGACCCGTCATAAAATCAAATTAATTTCACAGTAAAACTTTTTGAGTCTAGTGGGAATTAGCTACCTAGTAACGCTGATATGCCAAGTGTTATGTGTTTGACTTGTATATGTAATTTATATATTATCTTGAAAATCTTTAACTAACTATATAACTAAATTACTACACATGCGAAGATATTGAGAAAATTATAAATGAATTCTTTTCTTTATTATATTAATCATAGACTTAATTTTGTTCGTGGAAATTTTTTAAATAATGAAGTCTTATCAACTGGATATTGAAGACTGGTAGGGAAGTGTCATAGAGAGACCTATTGTAAACTTGGGCTCAGATTGTTATTGTGGTCTTGAGACGCCTGAGAAACGTGAGTGTTGTTACCTGGTCACCTGGCTGCAGTATAACAATTATTGGAGATAGTTTTATACCACCAGTGAATGCTAGACGGAGGTGACATTCAGTTGTATAGTATTTCGTTTATTCGTCCGCTTCTCTGTCCTTCACAAATTGGGATGTAGTTGTACTAATGCTGTTACCTTATGTGATCTATACCAACTCGAGCTGTCATTTCTATAGGAGATTCAAGTAACGAATAGCTACAGCGTTAATGACCCTGTGATCGTTTAGGTGTAAAATGGTCTTGGCCCAACCATATTGATCCTACCTTGGTAAACCTCTGTTGCATTATTTTTATTATTATTATTATTATTATTATTACGTAATAGTTTCAGATGTTAAAAAACGTACTGTTCTAGACCATATATACAGCATACTTTCATTAGTGTCGCAGTGAACCAGAATTAGAGTTGAAAAAAATAAAGACCCTCCTGGACAAAATGTGGCGCCAACATTATGGTCTAAAACAGAAAAAAAATGGTGGCATAAAACATTGAGAGTCGCTGAGGAAAAAACAAAACAAAAAAGTACTTAGTGTTATTCATTGTATAAACTTCGGTCGATAAATAGTAAAGAGGACCGAAGTTGTACCGAGGAGAGTCAAGCACAACATATAGTTAAGCCAATACGACTGAGGAGTAGTGAAAATAATGATTAAATCCTTATATACGTCACCAGGAGGGAAAGAAAGAGTCCCAATGAATAAGGGGTTAAAATATGTTTACATGGTGTTAACGTGACACCTGGAGAGAGAGAGAGAGAGAGAGAGAGAGAGAGAGAGAGAGAGAGAGGCGGGATTGAATCACTCCCTGGTATAATAATATCATGGAAATACATCAGTGTGCATGACTTTACTGTAGGAATGACAAGACATCACAATCACTGCAGAGAGTAACTTGTGTCTGTGTGAATGAAAGGATGCTGAAGACCCCCCCCCTCCCCCCCAACCTCGAGTGGTTAATCAGCTTAGTGAATAGAATGAACCCACGAAGCCCATGGCACGCGAAGCCCATGACTGATGTTGTATTGCTGATTCACTTTGTTCGAGTCAATGGGTTTATTCTTATCGGTTAGTTGTACATATTCCCTTTATAAGAGATTCGGTGTATTATTTCCTCCGTAAATATTGTAAGGGATGGGAGAGCTTATGAGTCGACTAAACAATAGTTCTTCGTCAGTATCAAATGTGCAGTTGAAGTCAAAAATTCTTCTACAGTTTTGACAATTTATCCGTATCTGCTTTAGGGTCTTGTAGGTAAAAGGGGATTTAGAAATTTAACATATAACTATACTGATTTTCACTTAATATTTTGTTTTTATTTAGTCAAAACTTAAAACGGTGTTCTATACCAGCTTTAAACCAGTCAAATACACTAACCTAACCTAACCTAAACCAGTCACGTAGACGAACCACAAGTATAGATGTCAAATATTGCCAAGTGTCGAGGGACTTTTGTCTGTAGCTGTACATTAATGAGATACTCTATCCTGCAGTTGTACCCGTAACGAGGTGCCATTATCGTCACGCGTGTTGAGGCAGCCGTCGTGTGTGTGTGTGTGTGTGTGTGTGTGTGTGTGTGTGTGTGTGTGTGTGTGTGTGTGTGTGTGTGTCACGCTCTCCTCCATCCTATACGGCTCCTGGTTATTTGGTCTTATATTTTGGTGATTGAAATAGTCAGGTTTTTAGGTAGTTAATTAAGGTTTAGTTCTCATATATGTAGTTGTTTTTTTAATAAGTTTGTGTTAGTTATTAGAGCATATTTTAGAGAGACGATGGAATGAGTGATTTTTTAGGTTTAATCAAAGAAAAAGAAGTATTAGGTGAATTGAACAAATTTATAAATGATACTAATGTTACAGGTGTGTGAAGGTGTGTGTGTGTATAGTTAGAACGTGTAGTCTAGCTTACCTGGTGTATTATAGGAGGTGGAGATGAATGTGTCGTGATAGAATGACAAAGGAAATATAATAGACACTTAATATGAATATGAAGAAACTATATTGGATGAAAAATAAAGAAAATAGATCTTGGTCACTTTCCAAAATAGGTCGGTCATTTTGCTAAAAGGCCGTAAAATATATGTGATGAAATAGATTCGTTTTAGTCCCATGTGCGACACACTTCAGTCCACTCATCAGGTCAGCCACCACACTGCCAGCCTGGTTGTCGCGTCGGCCCAACTGGCTCTGGGAACTCAAGCTGAGACTGACAGAGCGCGAGGTGTGAACGAGGGTGAATTTAGAGTCCCTATAAAGCGTGTGGATATTATCATGCTTCTTTTATGTTTTTCGAGAGTCTTGAAGCGAAACAGGTACGATGAACCATCAGTCGCTGCCTTTGGGGTTTTGCCAAGGGGATAGTCTGTCATGGGAACCTCATATATTTTTGCCTGTGATCCAGTAAATACGGCTCAGCTTTTTCCCAGCCAGGATTTATGTAAAGCCTTGCAAAATTTTGATATAAAACTGTGAACATATTAACTTTCCGGGTTAGGTTAGGTTAGAGAGAAGGTGGTAATCCCATGTTTCACGTGTGAAGACTTTGTTTTCACTTCTTGGTGTGTGAGGTCTCCTAAGTTTGGTCAATGTTGCTTTTGTAATGGAAGTCTGTAAAGCAGTACACAGAATTAAAACCCGTCGGCTTGAGTGAGTCCCCACAACAATCTGGTCATTCACTATTTATGAAACGTAAGCTAACCTAACCTAACCACTTGTTATTTATTTATGGTGTCTGAACATGTCTTAGTAAGGAGATATAATTCTCTCAAGTGTATGGAAGTGTTGTGTGAATAATTATAAACATCACTAGGCCTACACCATGACGAGTGAGGGAAGCGTTCCTTTACAACATGTCAACAAACGACCCCCGTTGACCTCCCGTTGTGCCACCCACCTAGCTTGTGATAGTACAGTGTGTGGGGCTACGGATACATAGGTGATCATATTACCTGAGCTACGTATCAAACTATACTCTATCACCATAAGACAAATGATACAGGTTTAAGTTACAGCAAATCACACAAAACAAGGAGTTATTATCCGGGAAAAGGGGGCGGGACTGATCGATAAACAGCTACCAACAAAAATATGTTCACTCGATTATATTTTTACCTGAGTACATTTGTGCCAGACATTATTTTCCTCACTACTACAAATAACACATCACCACAATCGATTTATCTTGACAAGCTGAAGGTAACATGGTCGTTTAGCGGGAGAAGGAAATAAGAGCGTGGGAGGCAGCGGCGGTGCGTGAACCTCGAGGCGACCACCTGTTACCTGGAACGGTGATTCTCTCAACAACTGTGGTTACCTGTACCTCCTGCCAGCGTAGAAGGGGGAGGGGGGTTGAAGGAGGAGTTTACCCCCCTCAAGTACCTCTTATCACCAACATCAGACATTAATACTGTTGTGTCCTATGATGATCCTGTTGATGTGGTGGTGGTGTGGGTATTGTGGAGGTGTGGGTATTGTGGAGGTGTGGGTATTATGGAGGTGTGGGTATTATGGAGGTGTGGGTACTGTGGAGGTGTGGGTACTGTGGTGAAGGTGTGGTTATTGTGATGAAGGTGTGGATACTGTGGTGAAGGTGTGGGCATTGTGATGAGGTGTGTGGGTCCTATGATAAAGATGTGGGTTCTATTGTGTGAGAGTGTCGTAGTGATGGTGGGGCAGTGATGATGTTAGTATAGTAATGGTAATACACACACACACACACACACACACACACACACACACCTCTGGCCTCTTACCGTAGCGCCCGCGGTCACTGTGTTAAGGGCTCTTGACTCCTCTTGTGTATCACTCTCCTCCTCACTGACCTCTTCTACCGTCTTCTCCCTCTCGTCCTCCTCCTCCCCGACACCTCCTCCCGCTGCTGGTTCTCTATCTCTCGTTTCTGTATCTTCTGGTCTCATCTTCCTCAGATGTGAGGGTCCTGGACGGCCAGGTGAGGACGCATCTGTTTCCTCCTGATGGGGAGCTACCATCTAGGGAAACATGTCTGTGTAGTCAGTTTATTATTTTCCATATATTTCTGACACAGGAATGTTCTGCACATGACACAGCAACAATCACTCCTAATCAGTCCCCACTAGTTGTTTCCCATTAATAGTTACATCAGAGGTATTGGTGGATAACTCATATTTGACGTTGTGGTGAATATCAGATTTTCTTTATAATTGTACGGAAAACACGACACTCTTAAAGTCAACATATCACGCACATGATGAAAACACTAGGCACTAGAACTTGTCTTAAATATAGGGACATTCCTGTATGTTGGTAGAGACATACCGTCAGTGTTGGTGGAACTTTGGAAACTGAATTATAACAGAGCAACGGGAGAGGTGGCGGGCCAGGCGACCACGGCACCACCGCTCACGAACTAAGCAGGTAATGTCTCGCTAGCCGCTGCTTCTGCCGCTACTCTGCACGCCATATGTTGCCGACACACACACACACACACACACTAACGCCACACCGTGTACACACACAGTGGCCCAGACACATACTCAAACACCACCACCAATCAATGTGGACTCACGTGAATGAGCGCCCCCCCCAAAAAAAAACAAAACCCAACACCCCCCCAACACCCCCTCCCCACTCAAACACCCCCAGCCACCCAAACACCCCTACCCCCTCAATGCACAATATAATAGGTAAACGAGTTGGTTAAACCAAGTACATATGTTTTTGCATCTCAGTATGTTTTTCTTTTACACTTTCCCATATAAATCCTTAGTTCCCACCCGGAGACGTCAACCTTCTCGTAGGTAACTATCACACGGGACAATTACGACTCTCGATTACGAGAATATGGGTCACATTCTCGCGGGATCCGCGTGAAAGCATTTGGTCATGAATGGTTAATAAACGGCATTATATTGAGAGGTTTTACTCTAAAGCTAGAACTGGGTTGTATCGTGTAGCTTCTGGCGTTTGGAGGGCAGTTTACTGTGTTTAGGATGATGAAGAACAGACATGTTAAGGAGTTTCTTGAAGTCTTAGATGTGTCGTCAGTGACCACAAGGTGACTGGTGGGAGTTTAGGGATACACCTGTAGTCATTTAGGTTCAGGTGAGGAGTCGGTGAAGGCTGTGGGCAGTGTCTTAGACTCAGGAGATGAGATGTTAAGGTAAATGGAGGTGAGAGTGAGTGGATTACTTTAGAATCAATTGTTGTATAAGAGAATAAGATTGCGTTCATACTGAGGCCGAAATCGGACATAAACTGACGCAAATTGTCAAGGAATAACCCGTTGCCGAATCTGACATAATCCGGTGTGGCATTGTAAACGGCTTGACCTTTTTTTTTTTTTTAGACGAAACTGTCGAACAATATGCGTCAGGATATGTCTGATTCCGGCCTCAGTGTGCACGCGCCAAGTATACAATTCGTGGTGGACTGAGCGTAAGACAGAGCTAACGAATTGAGATATTCTTTGATATATAAAGGACGAGTCGATGAAAAGTGGAGAAGGATGTTTGCTTGAAGTTAAAACGTTGTTGCCTCAAAACTTGGAGGGGCAGGAGGTGCTGAAGTTGAGGTAAGGTTTTGTCGAAAGTTGAAGAATGAAACAGTCGAAAACCTGAAGAAAACAAATACTGAAACTAAAAGACATTGTTGAGAATTGGAGGATGAAGCAGTGATTTTTAGTGTGTGTGTGTGTGTGTGTGTGTGTGTGTGTGTGTGCGTGTGCGTGTGCGTGTGTGTGTGTGCGTCCTATGAGGCATATGTGAATTTTGTGAACACGGTATCATTTAGGAAGATTCTATGAAGCTCTTTAATCTAGCATTTAATTTAGGAAAAAATTACCGGATATTAAATTAGAATTACTCGTTGAAAGTTACTGTACAAGTACGTTATAGCCAAACTTATACGTTAAATAAATCATGTATTTTTTCTATTTTGATTCAACATTTATCAAAGATGTTTATACACAGAGATTCGCCGCGTGATTTAGAACTGTTCTCTAACGTGGAGTGACTGACAGCTGTTGTAAGGAAGCTGTGATGTTCCCTTGTACCTTATAGTAACTATTCTCCATTACATCAAGGTGTTCGTGTGTAACGGAGCCATAACAGCTCAATACCTGCCGTTGTTATCGTTGGTGGGAAGTAATAGATTGTGACGGCGCTCGTGATTTGATGCTGCGTGACTATGCTGCGAGAGACTATACCGTCAAGACAGTTATCAGACGTATAGGTGTAGATGTGAGTAGTGGAGAAGCATCGATGACTGGCCAGTGTCTCTTACGTCTAACGCTCGGAGTAACACCTGTGATACAAGAACTAACACAGGTAAAAATATCACTAAAATTCCAGGTATAGCGTGATAACATAACTCGTTCACCTTCTGTCCTGCACAACACGCTCCCTCAGGCAAAAACCATGGCACATCTACTGTAAATATTAGCTCACCTGCAGGTGACTGACGCACGCCAGGGTGTTGTTCCTCGTCCTCCAGGTATTGTTACGTTTACGCCCCTCTTGTTGACTGAATCACCCAATCAGAATCTGTGTATCTGTCGCTCTGTTTCCCCGTTCTCTCTCTCTCTCTCTCATCAGCATACTCAGATACATTCCTCTGACTAACGCATGATGGCCACTCAGATAACCTTGCCAGTCACCGCACCTCCTATAGCAGCCTGGGGCCACACGTCACAGTTGGAGGTGTAGCGTAGTGTACAGGTATAAGCACCAAGTAACGGGTCCCTTAGATACCTCTTGTTACGAATCTTTCCCCCAATAAACTTCGTTCATATGATGTATTTCCCTTAAATGAGCGACATTTCCACATAATTTTGACCGTCTTAATGTGTAATAGGTTTGGTTAGGTTAGGTTAGGTTAGGTTAGGTTAGGATTTTGTATGACAGGTATGTTTTCACATAATCAGACTCGGATATATTTAGGCCTATGGGACCGTGAGAAACAAAGGCTGTATTAGGGAGAAGCTCGGTATTGTGGTCGTGTTAGGAGCGTATGGTGGAACGCTCATAATACCTGGTTGGCCTCTTAGCTATTATGGTTGACGATGGATCATGGGGCTGTTTACCTGGTAATGTGGTGGTTAATGTGTAATCACCTGAGCTGGGTACTGCCTCAAGTTTTTGCAGGTGTGTGTGTGTATGCGTGTATATATACGTGCGTGCGTGTGTATAATTTGGTGTATTTTTATATATTATTTTTAGTACGAACGCTCATACGTGTCTATCTGTCCTTCTGTCCTTATTTTCGTAGTCGAGTGACATCTATTTAAGCAGGAGTGCGTGACTGCGGTGGAGTCTTTTTCGCCTTAATATTTATTTCATTAATTTGGGCGATTCTTGTATACTCGCATATCACTGTAATAATCAACACAGTCTTGCAGTGTATACATGTTTCTGTGTGTATATATTTAAATTTATTATATTTCTGTATAACTTAATGATTCAGTAAGAATAAAGCAACAATTATATTCATTGTATAAATATCCTGCACTTTTTTTTGGGGGGGGGGGGAGTTAATACATATTGTATGCATGTGTTATATTAGTATTTTACAAGTGTTTTAGTCATGGTTCAGGAACAGTAAATAAGACTAATATTACCTGTACTTGTTTACTGGTGTTCTTTTAAGACCGAGTTACCTACATTAACACCTCCTCCTCCTCCCCCCTCCTCCTTTCCCCCCACCTCCTCCGCCCACCACCTCCTTCCCTCCACCACCTCCTTCCCCCACCTCCTCCCCCAGCTGCCAGAAGTAGGGTAGGCGAGTGTTAGTCTCTAGTGTACAGCTGCCATGTGTTACCAACTTACCTGTAATATTGCCGTGTTTACTAGATCAACTTCTCTCGTGTTGTGCGCTTGGCTGAAACTGTTCAGCAAGAAGGAAACATTTCTCTAATTATTTGGATGATTTGTGGTAGTTGTTGTATTTACTGTAGCTGTTGGCATAGCTTTGTGTGTGGGTGCGTTATGTGTGTGTGTGTGTGTGTGTGCGGTGCTGTGTTGTGTGTGTGTGTGTGTGTGTATGTGTGTGTGTGTGTGTGTGTGTGTGTGTGTGTGTGTGTGTGTGTGTGTGTGTGTTATGTGTGTGTGTGTGTGTGTGTGTGTGTGTGTGTGTTAAGTTCCATTCTATCAGTTTATAAGTGATATGAATCTGTCCCTAAAAAGTTGAAGTGTAAACCTCTCGTGTTAATCCATTAATGATCTTATTTCGTAAAGTATAATCTTATTTTCATCTAAATTTCTAAACCCTTTGTTGTGAATAATTTAATGTGGCAGTTTTTTGTACCTATTGTTATCCAGTTTTAGATTCAGGTGCTGACCAACTCTATAATCCCGTCACCAATGAGAATTACTGCACTTGTACTGGGGGGAGGCAAAACAAAAATACAATTATTTTTTTATATTTTTTGCAGCCCAAAATATCTGGCAGAAACTTGTATTTCGTGATTTTGTTTTTTGTTTATATTTTTTTGTACTGTATTTCCAGCCATTTGTTGAAACAGGTTTTCATGTTTAATGTTTATTGGTAACATTTGCCAGCAGAGAGCTTCCCTGCCAGTAATGTTTACAGTCTAAACATTCATCACCAGTTTTGTGTTAAATTGAGTTTGTTATACGATGAACTGTAACCTTTTATCTTCTGAACACTGATACCATAATATTAGCATCTCTTTAATTGAAATTAATGAACTGATTCCAAAATATTATCTGTAATTCTGAATACATGACAAATTTTAAAACAAAATCTTGATTACACAATTACACTATTGATTGCATGAATTTATCTTTCCTAAATTATTCAATAAAAGTTCACCTGATAAAACTCAGTCTTCATAGCCATATATTAACTGAAAAGTACATGAAAAAATTTCCCCCTTATTAATATAATTTATCTGGTGTAAGCTGTCGAAGTTTATCATGGATTTTGTAAAGGAGATGGATTTTTTTTTCTCTCCACGTTTGTTTGTCTATTTGACCAACACTCACAAGGGGCGAGGAGTGAAGATAAGGGCAAGAACGATACGTGACTGTGGAGTTTTGACAGTGGTGATGTGATTATGGTATCGAGTTTCATCAGACTTAGAGACAGCTGAAGTAACCGCAGAGTGAGGAGCGAGGGGAGGATTAGGACACCTTGAAGTGGACGCGCAGGGGAGAGTCTCGTCGCTGACAGAACGAAGAGATGTACAGTTACTCAAAAATCTGTCTGTACTTGGGGTGTTATTATTTCAACACAATTTTGTATAGATAGTTTTTGAGTGACTGAATTTTGTCAAGGAGGATTGTAATGATCACTATCATTGACTCTCTCTTCATTACGGGAGGAAGTATTTTTTTGTTCGTGTTTGTACAGAAAGAACAGATTTTTTGATGAAAGAAAAAAATGAAACGAGTGTGTGTAGTTATGAACGACAATA